TCAAGATGTTATTTTATGTTATTTATATGTATCGAAGTGAACCATTGGGCGGAGTATTCTCCAGAATCTCTGAGTTACTGAGATATATTCGTATATCTCACCCCGTCTTGGGGGCATTATTTCAGGAGGTAGCAGTGGTGCAGGAGCGGTGGGCAAGAAGCCCATGGGATGACTGAGACATAGGAGTATTTATTTTGTATTTTGGTGGCCATTGAGCCTAGGCTAGACTTAGGGCATGAATATTGCATATGGTTGTAGGAGGAGATTTATTGTCATATTTGTTCATGTCATTTTGCCTAAGTCTAGTCACATATGTCATTTTGAGGTTTATTCATTATGTTGTATTTAAAGATTATGGGTTGTAAAATGTAATATTTCATTTGGAAGTTGTAATTTGTACATGAATACTTGATGTAATATGGAAGCATGTAATATGATGAAAGGGCAATAGGCCTATTTTAGGATTATGATTATATGTATGTTTAGAAAATGCATGCAAATGGACATTGGTGATTGAAATATGCTAAGTGTAAATAAAGTAAGCAATATGATATGAATTGAGTAATTTAATATAAACTGTGATGGGTTGTAAGAGCCCCAAGGCATTGTTGGTCCTTGTGTGTGCTACCCAATGATTATTAGGTACATTTGAGGTCATAGAGCACTTGTACAAATTTGAGAATTTTTGGAAAAACAAAGGAAACTCTGGCGAATTTTCTAGAAATTGGCAGAATTTAGGCAAACTTTGGGAGAGCATATCTCCCTCCATAGAGGTACGATAGGGACGTACCATACACCATTTTGAAGCTTGAGATGTCCTCTATCTTGTGTTAAAATTTGAGAAAATTATGGGTTGAGTGTCGGCCTGTAAAGGGCAGTGAACTCGGACTATACAGTGGGCTACTGCACATTGGGCAGTTCTGGACCGAAATTGGAAAGTTTATTCCCGCTTCGTTTCTTGGTCAAATTAGGTTTATGATATATAAAATTGAAGCTTGAGGTGTCTAGTTTGTTGTATAAAAGTTTTAGAGGAATTGGTTGAGTATATTCTCTGCAGTAATTGTTTTAGTGAAGGATGTTTTGAGCTATTTTGGGGTTGGCTGGCAGATTTGCTTGTCCAACTTTAAACAGCGATATCCGGAGCAAACGAGAACTTTATGACTCGTGTGATAGCTTCCTAGAAAGGTAATTGAGTCTATAATAACATACTAAAATATGGGAGACTTTTTATATGCGGTTTGTCTTCAGAAAATTAAAGAGCGAACCATGTTCGGATAGGTAGAAAACGTAAAAGGGAGATTTTGGCTAAGTGGGTTTATGGGAACTCCTTAGTGACTTGAGAGATGTAAAATAAGTTATAAAAGTAGTTTAAATAATTATTTCGCAAATAGTTTATAGTTACGGTCACATCTTTTATTTATTACGCTTTTTATTGTTTTAAACGCTCGCGTAATAAACGCAAAACGTTTACTCGCATTTTTATAAAGGAACTACTGTGATTGTAACTGCGCTTAATATCATAATTAATGTTAACAATACCGGTGTACAACGGGCTATTACAATAAATTTTGCATCAAGTGTTCGAATAAGATGATTTTATTTATTACACGATACTTTTCGAGATCTACGTGCTTTGGTAAAAAAAATTTCCAAAAAATATTTTCTTGTGCCTTGTTTAGCATATTTTATCTTTGTAAATGATATTATTTAATTCTTATTCTTATTTTCACTTTTCAACACTAATAAATAATCCTTCGAGAATTTGCTAACGGGTAAATCTCTAAAATTACGTGGAATAAAAGAAAATCACTTGATTCGAATACCCTAGTCCCAAAAGTTATGGTATTTCCAAATTTTACGGTAAAACTACCAAAATTTTATGTCATGTGTCATCATAGTGTGAGTCTCAAAACTCGCTGCCAGTTCCAAACTGCCTGCCACGTGTCGATTTTGTTAAAAGCACTATGGTTACTTTGACCACCATAATTGTTGCCACTAACAGCAAATTTGGTAGCCTTAAGAAATGTGCCACATTGCAAACGAAACCTGGCGACAACCGGTAGCGGATTTGACAATATGGTCAAAGTCCCTTTGTACAAATGTCATGTTTATGTTAACGGAAACATTGATTTAAAATCACTATCATGAACTTTCAATTTTGTGTAAGACACCTGAACTTTTTTTTATGATGAGAATTAAACACATAACTTAATACAAGCTACTCAAATTTCTTATCACTAGATCAATCCTAATCTCTTTTAACTTCTTTTTTTCTTTGGATACAAGACACCCTGAACTTTGATACACTTTAAAAGAAATATTTTTATTATCTTTTGTCTTGAAATGTAAAACTAATTAAAAACAACAAACAAATTAATAAAAAAAAAACCAAACGAATTCATCATTATTGTAATACTTTAAGTAGTAAACACTAAAGTTTAAAAAATCAAAAAATTTAGCTATCCTCCGTGAAAAACAGAAAAATAACAGCAAAATTAAAAAAAGAAGTTGTAATCACTATGAGATAAAAAATTCACTTTAAAGGTGTTTGTACATTTCTTCACAACAAAAGTTAAATTAAAAAAATTATACATATATTGAAAAAAAAATGTAAACCAATGGTATAATTCTTCATTTGTATTAATGAGCACAGGGGTAATACTGTTTAACATAATTCGTTGACATGACATGAGAAATTCATATTTGGATCGAATCGTTTTCAAATTTATGTTATGTTTAACTTTTCATGATGGTAAAAATTGACATTAAAATGTTCGTATCATATCGGATGTCAACTTGCAAAAAATGACATTGACCCAAATAATATTCTTCTATATTATTTATATAGTGTTGTGTCGTTCAACACGACATTAATAAATAAAATATACAATACATTGATTATTTATATTATATCATGTCGTGTTAATTCACATAATAAATAATTCATTTTGAGGTGACGGGTTATTCATGTAGTATTTGATATGCCTCCAGCATATATATGATTTTAAGCCAAAAAGAGAAAGAATCTTGATCAATCTTGAATGAAAAGGCCCATAATGGCTATTAAATTGATAAATCGTAATAAGGTATCTTGTCACTAATTTTTTTATATTTTTTTAGGAAAAAGTACAAGAAAAGGGGCCCAAATTAATAGCAAAGGGAAGACACAAGTCTGAAGCCACCGCGCTACTAGCGCGACACTGGCGCTATCAGCGCCAGCATCACCTTTCAACATAGTACAACCGCGCTATCAGCGCGAGATTCACGCTAGTAGCGCGAAGCCACTGCCTCCAAACATAATTCTCACGCCATCAGCGCCAAACTGGCGCTAGTAGCGCGGGAAGCACGTGACAGTTTTTAATCAGGACTCAAAATGTATCTGGAGGAGATTCTAAACAAAGATATGATCAAGATTTGGACCAAGAAAACAAATTCTAAAAAAAGGGACTGAAAACCCTTAGAATATAATCTTTGGCTGGAGAGAATTGTGAGAATCAGAGAATTGAGAGAATTTTTGGAGGCTCACGCTGGAGATCAGGATTCCACAGAATTTGAATATCGAAGACAATTGATTCTTCCTCTTCCTCTTCATCTTCATCTTTTCTATTTCTTTTATGAATTCTTTTTATTATTTTGAATTGTTAATGTCAGATATGTCTGACTAATTTCTTTTTGTAGTTGGGATCACAGATCCAATGTGAATCCTTTATAGTTTTTAAATTGTTTTTATAATTAATTTAATTTGTTTAGTTTTATTCTGCCTGTATTAATTTTTCTCTATCCTTTCTAGAATTGATCGCTCTATTTATAGGGTTTTGAGGGTTAGAGCTCACAATAAAAATATTGGGGTTTTAATCTTGACAAGGGTAGAATAACAATCTGTGTATGATCTAGACATATGCTTACATAGATTGCAGACTTTTTAAATTCATTTGCTTAATGCTTAATTCAAGAGGAATTACTAGGACACTAGGATTCTAATTGGGTAAAAGGGTTGAATACACTAAGACATCAGGGTTCAAGTACTTAATAGGGAAATAATGAATTATCTGAGCTAATAAATTAATTGGTTATAAAATTCAGTTTAGAATTATAAGGGAGGATCGGAGGTGAAGTGAATCCTGACTGTAGTTTCTCTTACAATTTTAATTACTTATATTTTCTTTGACATTCTTGATCTTTTCTTGCATGCTTTTGATTATCATAGTTTCTTTAATTTCAGTCAACAAATATTATCTCAATTAAACTGGATTTTTCAAATTAAGGGAAATAGTTAAATTAATAATTGGTGCATTAATGCTTGAGGGAACGATACTTTACTTCCACTTTTATTACTTGAAACGAATGGTATACTCAACAAGTTTTTGGTGCCGTTGCTGGGGATTAATTACGCCAATATTAATTTTAACTTTCAATCTTTGAGATTGAAATTTTATTTTTCTTTTGTTACTGATTTGATTTCTCTCTTTTATGCAAGGTAAAGTTAACCGTGAATCTTTACAGTTTGATTCAGAAATTGAGAAGACTGCAAAGAAGAATAGGAAGCTAGCCAAGCTAAGGAAGCAAGATGAGTCCTCGAGTTCAGAGCCAAAAGCAGAACCCGAGATGCAGGAAATAATCTGTCACATCATGAAGAGGAGTTGATGGAGTCCATCCTCACTCCTAATTTCACATGATCAAACTCGAGTATCGTGAGACCAACGATCGCGACTAATAATTTTGAAATCAAGCCAGTGTTGGTCACACTGATTGAGCGATATCAGTTCAAAGGAGAGGATGCTGAAGATCCTCATGAGTTTCTTGACAGATTCTTGATGGTCTGTGATACTGTCAAGAACAACGGGGTGTCAGAAGATGCACTCCGACTGCGTTTGTTTCCATTTACAGTGATAGAAGGAGCACTCAGATGGATGGAGCAGTAACCAGCAAACAACATCAGCACGTGGGAAGATTTAGCTGCGAAGTTCTTAGCTCAATTCTTCCCAATGACGAAGTATAACAGGTTGGTGAATGAAATCACCAATTTCATCCAATCTGATGGAGAGACTCTGTGTGCAGCCTGGAAACGATTCAAAGAACTTCTAAGAAAGTGTCCTCAATACAAGTTGCGACCTGGAGAAAAAGTTCGAATCTTCTTCAACGGGATGACACCATCTTCAAGAATGGTTGTCAATGGTGCAGCTGGAGGTTCTATCAGGCAAAAGACACCTACTCAGACTTTGGAATTGATAGAGTCTGTGGCAAGAATGGAGAATGAGAGTATAACAGCTCAACCAAAGAGAGGAGTCCTCCAGTTAGAAAGTAATTATGCCATGCTAGCTGAGCAGAAGCTAATATCACAACAAATTGCTATTCTGAATAGTAAGCTTGAAAAACTTCAGGCTTCTATAGCTCAAGTTAAATCAGTATCCTGCGAATATTGTCAAGGAGAGCAGGAGACTAATGAGTGTAATGTACTCATTGGATCAGATCCAATTCAAGTTAATGGGATCTGGTATGATCAGAGAACTCAGCAGAATCCTCCAAGGAATCAAAACAATGCATTGGGGAATACTTTTATCTCTAAGTGGAAGAATCATAAAGGTCTGGACTACAAGTCAAATCAATATTTGCAACCTCTACCAATTCCACAGAATCAACCTTCTGAGTTAGAGAGAGCCTTGCTGCATTTGACAAAGTCCACTGATGTATTTATGAATGAGACAAGGTCTCATCACAAGTAGAGGTGGCAATATGGGTTGAACCCGACGGGTCAACCCGCCAACCCGCCAAAATGGGGCGGGTTGAGTTACACACTTCAACCCATCAACCCACTTCAACCCGCCCCGCCAAGATGTGGGTCAAAACGGGTTAGGGTCGGGTCGGGGCGGGTTAACCCGCGGGTTACCTTTTTAAAATTTAACATTAAAAATTATTGTTATATAATATTACTATTAGTAACCATTGTCTTCCGTAACCCTAAGACGCAGACCTCCAGCTGAGTGCCGACCAGCCGCCCCACCAGGAACCAGCGAGCGACCAGCCTCCGCACCGCAGTCCGCCGCCTCCTTGTAACAAATCTACTCGTTTGTCTTTCTCTTTCTCTCTCAGCTTTTTCTTCTCTGCTCTGCTCTGTTTCACAGTTTCTCTCTGTTCCCATTTGCATGCATTGTAAGTTTTGGTAACTTTTCTAGTGCCAATGGATTTGTTTTGTACTTATTTGCTTCAAGGGTTCTTTTTCTTTTCTTTTTTATTTTGTTCTGGCTTTTGCTTGATCATTTCAGAATTGCATTTGGAAAATTTAATCTTTTCCTTTCCGTGGCGTGTAGGTTGCTAGGATTTTCTTTTTAGTTCCAACCCACATTTTCTTTTGCGTTCTGATTATATAGGTATTGTTTAATTTATGTGAAAGTTTATTCTTTTCGTGAATTTTATTTTCATGGGTGATATTTCAAGTTATGTTTGTGGATGTTTCGTTTTATTAAATCAATTTTGCATTTTTCCCACTCTATTCTTCTTATTCTATCAATCGTTGTTTGTAATGGTGTGCTATTTGTGCAGCTATTTTATGCATAACTTATGGTGAAAGCCCAATGCTAATATAGTGAAGGAGGGGTGGGGTTTCTGTCTTTGCCATTACTGTAGGATAGGGTAATGGTAATCTATTTTGGTGTTTTGCTTATGGGCAGTTTCAATTTTCAAATGTGTCCCTGCTAGACATGCATAGGGGTTTAAGGGTTTTTATTGTATTTCTGCTTTATCCCTCTCTGTTCTGACTAGATTCCTTAAGAATTGTTCTGATTTTATTCTCTTTTCATGTTTGCTAGCTGTTGATTCATGTTTATAATTACTCTTGTTAGCTTTTGTCAATGTACATATGAACTCCAATACTCATAGCATATGTTGAAGCTGTTATATAGTCAGTACGCTTGGCAACTTAATTTAATTTAATTTTTTTGTGGCATATGCAAATCCAATTTCCAAATACATGTAATTGTTTATTGTACTTATACTCACCCAATCTTATTATTTTGTGCAGCACTTACTGTGTTAACAAATGGAATCAGTTAATAATTGTATTGATGTTGATGATCATGCTGAAAAGTTGGACTTTGAGATTGAAGAAGCATCTGCTTCGGTTGAACCGTCTATAAAAAAAGCCAAGTCATCAACATCAGAGTGTTGGAAATATTTCACAAAGATTGGACCGGGCAAAGATGGGATTGATAGGGCAAGATGCAATGCTTGTAAGCAAGAGTACAAAGTGGGTGGAAAGCAATATGGTACGTCAACTTTAAACCGCCACCTCTCTAAGTGCAAACAAATAAAATTTGAAGATGTTGGTCAAGTAATGTTAGATATGCAAGGCAAACTAAAATCTATGAAAATAGATCAAAGGATATCACGTGACATGTATGCTGAAGCGGTTATTGAGCATGGTATGCCCTTTAGGTTTGCTGAGTATAAGAAGTTTAGGCGTTGGCATTCCTACATATGTCCTGATTTGATTCATATTTCTAGAAATACTCTTAAAAAAGATGTCTACAATCTCTACTTGAAAGAAAAGGAGAAGCTTAAAAACACATTGGTTAGCATCCGTAATAAGATATGCCTAACTTCAGATTTATGGAAAACTGTTAATGGTAATGGTTACATATGTTTAACTGCTCATTATGTTGATACAAAATGGAGGTTAAACAGCAAAATTCTCAACTTCTGTCAGATGCCTCCTCCTCACACTGGATTTGAGCTGTCACAAAAAATACTTGATATGTTGAAGGACTGGGAAATAGAGAAGAAGATTTTTAGCATTACTTTGGATAATGCATCTGCTAATGACACTATGGTAGGTCTTTTGAGAAGTCAACTCAATATGCAAAATTGGTTGTTATGTGATGGAGTTTTTTTCATGTGCGTTGCTCTGCACATATATTGAATCTGATTGTTTAGGAAGGGTTGAAAGTTTCTAATGACGCTTTGTACAGAATCAGAGAGAGTGTCAGGTATGTAAAATATTCAGAAGGTAGAATGAAAAAATTTAAAGAAGGCATTGAACAAGTTGGTGGTGACAATACTTCAATTTGGCTGCGTTTAGATTGCCCTACTAGATGGAATTCCACTTATTTGATGCTTGAAAGTGTTCTAAAATATAAACGTGGGTTTGTATCTCTCCAATTGAGTGATAGAAATTATAAAGATTGTCCTACAACGGATGATTGGGAAAGAGGAGAGAAGCTTTGCCGGTTCTTGTAGCCATTTTATGAGATAACCAATTTGATTTCTGGAACTTCTTATCCTACTTCCAACTTGTATTTTCTGCAAGTTTGGAAAATTGAGTGCGTTCTAATTCGTATGGTAAGTGATGAAGATGAAGTTGTAAAGACCATGGCTCAAAAGATGATGAAGAAGTTTGAAAAATATTGGGATGAGTATAGTGTTGTGCTTGCACTAGGAACAGTTCTTGATCCTCGGATTAAGTTTTCTACAATATCTTATTGTTATAAAAAGATTGATGCTACTTCATCTGATGAGAAAATAGAAAATATAAGGACAAAGTTGTACGAGCTCTTTGAGAATTATACGAGCACAACTTCTTCCACTATCAATGCTCAAGTTGATGTTAGCTCTCAAGCTTCAAGCCAAGGATCAAAGGATAAGAAGGGGTGGTCTGATGAATTATATGAAGTAAGTTTATCTATATTTTAACATGATAATTTAATTACTTTGTATCTTGTAATTTTTTGAAATTTATCATATTTTAATTTTCATGTGTTTTCACTTGTAAAATATGATAGGAAATGAAAATGCACAACTATAACCTTGCAACTAATTCTGGAAGGTCTGACCTTGATGCTTATTTGGATGAGCCTGCATTGGTTTTTACACATTGGGAAAGTTTAGATACATTGCAATGGTGGAAGGATAATAGTAATCGCTACCCAGATCTCTCAGTAATGGCGCGTGACTTGTTAAGCATTCTCATTACCACTGTAGCGTCTGAATCTGCATTTAGCATTGGGGCACATGTCTTGAACAAATATAGAAGTAGCATGATATCAAAGAATGTCTCAGCTTTGATTTGTACTCGCAATTGGATGTCTGGTTTTGTTAGCGATGGTAACTTATTTAATTTAAATAAAATTATAATTTTATTTTAATTCATGATTGTTTGTCATTTTGATAATTCCACTTTTTGGATTGTTTTATGTAGATGAAAGTGATGATGACACTGATGACGACGAAGACGATGATGGGAACAAGATTTCAAGAACTAGAGTTCTAACTTCTAAAGGAGCATCTAATGCTGAATTATATTGTGGATGAGAATTTTGTTTTGTGATTGAGTGATTTTGATTTATCTGTTGTTGATTTAAATATGATTACGAGGGTGCTATTTTATCATTAGGTTTCTATTTTATCATTATATTTGTTGGTTGTTGTATTGTAGACTTGTAGTGCGGGATTGTGGTGCTGTGATGCTGTCATGTTTGCTTGATGTTGGGTTGAGACGTTGAGTTTTATTATTTATGCAAGAATTGAGTTCCTTTAGTTAATTAAGTTTTAATTGAATGAAATTACAATTAGGACACATTTGAGTTAGTGTTCTCTGCATATAAATAGTCATTTGCGGCATGTAAATAGTATATGGAAGAATGAGTAAATTATCTCTATTTTTTTCTGATTTTTTAATTAATATTTTGGTGGGTCAACCTGCCAACCCACCAACCCGCCAACCCAACAAGTTTTTTGGTGATTTGGCGGGCCAACTCGCCAACCCGCCAACCCACCTCAAAACGGGTTGGGTTGATATTTGCAACCCCCCATCCAATGGCGGGTTGGCCCGCCCCGCCCCGTTTTTGGCGGGCCGGGGCGGGTTGACCTGTTTTGCCACCTCTAATCACAAGAATCAAGATGCATCTATCAGAAACTTGGAGAGTCAAATTGGCCAACTTTCAAGACAACTAGCTGAGAGGATTCAAGGAACATTCCCTAGTGACACCATAATCAACCCAAGAGAGCACTGCAATGCCATCACTACCAGGAATGAGGAGCTAGAGAAAGAAGAAGTAGAAGTTTCTACAAGCAAGGATGAACAAGTTCAAAAGGATAAAGAAGAAGCAAAGGAGCAACCTCTGACAATTCAAAAGAAGCAATGAGATTTCTCACGTTTCGAAAAACCTCCATATCCCATGAAGCTCAAGCAACATGAGCAAAAGGAGAAATTGTCTAAATTTTTAGATATTTTTAAAAAATTACAAATTAACATTCCTTTTGCAGAAGCTCTGGAGCAAATGCCTTCGTATGCCAAGTTCCTGAAGGAGATATTATCTAAGAAGCGGAAGCTCACAGAGGATGAACCTGCTACACTAACAGAGGAGTGTAGTGCAATCATATAGAAAAATTTGCCTCCAAAATTGAAGGATCTAGGGAGCTTCAGTATTCCATGCACCATCAGCAAGACGACTATAGAGAAAGTCTTATGCGATCTTGGTGCCAACCCCTCAACCTAATGAAGAAGCTGAGAATTGATGAAGTAAAGCCAACGAGGATGAATGTTTAATTGGCCGACCGCTCAACAAAGCAAGCTCATGGTATTGTGGAAGATGTGCTCGTCAAGGTAAACAAATTTTTAATTCATGTTGATTTTGTTATTCTTGACATTGATGAAGATGTAAGTGTGCCTATGATCTTTGGGAGGCCATTCTTAGCAACCTTAGGAGCGCTAATCGATGTACCTAAGGGTGAATTGATAATGCACGTGGATGGAGAGCGAGCAACATTCAAGGTACTTACAAATGGAGCTCTATTGCCTGCATCTCAACCTAAAGATCAAGTTAACTTCATTGCGAAGAAAAAGGTTGAGGAAGGAAACAAGAAGGAAGTCCATCAGCGACATGAAGAAAGCAAGCCAAAGGTTAAGATAGAAAAGCCCAAGAGCAAAGAAAAAATGTGAAAACTAAGTTTAAAGTTCTTGAGAGTCCTCCTCCTCATCCACATGCATATGATTGTTATGGAAGGACATAATACTGGACCAAGAAGATTGAGTCATCAATAGTAACGTGCTTCCAACCACCATAATCACAAGGGGTACGTCAGGCTCGAGACGTTAAACAAGCACTAATTGGGAGGCAATCCAAAACCCATTTTCATTTTCATTTATTTAATTTTGATTAGGTAGTTTTAATTTTAGAAAGTGAGGTAAATGGTGAAAACAATGACAACAGGTGAAAAAGTATAAATCTGGGAATTGGCGCTATCAGCGCCAATCTGGCGCTAAAAGTAAGAGTGCCACAAGACTAAGAAAAAACAGTAAGCTCGCGCTTAAAGCGCGAGAGTGGCGATGTCAGTGCCATAATTTTCAAATATTACAGTAAGTTTGCCCTAACAAGCGCCAAGGAGGCGCTGTCAGCGCCAAAATCCCAGAAACTATTCGCGGTATACGCACGAAGTCCGCGCTTAAAGCGCAAGAAGGTCCACACTTCACCATTTATTTTGACTTTAGTATTTTCTTTTTATTTTGCTGTTTTGAGATTATGGTTTGATTATGTCTCTTCTTACATTCTGCTTTTATGATTATTCTGGTTGACGTTTAACAAGTGTGTGTGTGTGTGTTCCATCTGCATAGAAGTAGCTTCACTCGACTAATTTAGCTTATTGCTGGGGACAACAAAATTCTAAATCTGGGAATTGGGGCGCATATCAGATGCGGTAACTGCGAAATCACACAACAGAGACGTCTAACAGAAAAATTTTCTGTTAAAAAGGGGAGATACTTTAACCTTTTTTATTTATTCTACTATTTTAATTCATTTTAAAAAAAAATTAAAATAAAAGAGTAATAAATTCCTGAAAAAGCATTCCTGGATTTGCAAAAGCTTAATCAGTAATCAAATGGATTAAATCATAAGAAGTATAGGTGATATCTGTGGAGTAACAAAAAGTAATTGATGTCATAATCTGTGAGTCAGGATTGCTCGTTTGTATAACTTCTTTGATGAGGAATTTTTAGATAATGCTTGATGTGAAATTTCAAAATTAGATTCTAGCTTGAAATTAGACCTGTGAGAATTGAGCCTAAACAGTAATTTTCTTTAGAGAGTCCTCACTGTAGTAGTCTTCTAGAACTTGATCTATTTCTCCATATTGCATGAATTTACTGAGATGATAAAGGCACATTATTCTTATTAACTTTGAGCCAAATAGCCTACCTAGAAAGAATTTTCCATTGTTAGCCCCTTTGAGCCAAAGACTGATTGATTCAAATACCTGATGAAAGTTACTTAACCGTTTCCAAGTGACACACCTTGAAAGAAGTCGAAATGCTGATAAAAAGAAAAATAAAGGAAATTCTCAATGAAAAGTTAAGTAAGTGAAAAATGGAAAAAGAAAAATGGTCTGGCAAAATGCAGTTCAAAAGAGAAAAGAAAGAAAACATATGCAGACATGGAAAGAAAGAGGTAGTACAAAGGGAATAAGAATCCCAAGTTGACAAAAAGTGGCAAAAATTATGAATTGAGAAGTTGAAAGTATTATCAGAAATCTCAGTATTTCAGTCTCAAATATTAATCAGCCTCTGTCCAAAAGATTCTTACCCCCAAACCAGACCAAGTTACAACCCTTAAAGACCTTTTGATCAGTTTGTGCATGTCAAATGTGTTCCTCAAATCTTAGGAACCTGAGAATATGATCAAGCCTATGGAATTACTATTACATTGATGGAATGAGTGTTGAAACCTTCAAATACTAGAGTGATGAGAGTTACATATTTATCTGGTGAGGAACATTCAAGTTATGATCTGAATTTCTTGATAAAACTGAAAAGCATTGTTTGGAGTTATCAATAGTTAAGATATACATGCATAGCATTCTGATCTCTTGAGATGTTTGTGTTCCATATTTTCCCTCCATAGAGTTAATCCTTGCTGATTTTGTTTTTATCTAGTTTATTGCTGAGGACAGCAATGTCTAAATCTGAGAATTGTTTGATATGCCTCCAACATATATATGATTTTAAGCCAAAAAGAGAAAAAATCTTGATCAATCTTGAATTAAAAATCCCATAATTGCTATTGAATTGATAAATCCTAATCAGGTATCTTGTCACTAATTTTCTTATATTTTTTGTAGGAAAAAGTACAAGAAAAGGGGCCCAATTAATAGCAAAGGGAAGACACAAGTCTGAGGCCACCGCGCTACTAGCGCGGCACTGGCGCTATCAGCGCTAGTATCCCTTTTCAACACAGTACAACCAC